AGATACTTCATTTTAGAGTACTCGGCAGAAGGCTGCAACAATGAGAAAGAAGAAGGACAACGGGTTAGTGCTCGAGTAGCCTCGTAACTCCTAGGAGGAGAGCAGATTCCTTTACGAGAATCCTTACATCACTGTTCCTTTTTAAAAAGAGCAAGGTATCATTACGAAGACGTTTTTTAAATACGAACTTATTGAATGTGTGTGCCTGGGTATTCGATGACGACTATCTTTTGAAATGTAACAATTAAGATTTACTCGAGTTCTTAAGTCACTCATGTTTTTTATTCTCAGGCTATGCTACCCAGTAATGAAAGACGCAGTTAAAGACAAGATATCAAGCGAGTACCAGCACCTGTACGATAATCCAAGCACATTGACAGCTGCTTTAAACGACTTTGACCTAGGCTTGGAGACTATTTGCATCAGCTCGAGGGTGTAGCATCGTCACCGAGCATCAATGAAAATTATCGTCCTTACTTATCTGTTTTTATTATATTATGACCAAACACAGTTTATTTTAATGTAATATACAATTTACTTATCGTTGCGTTAATTCTTTATTCAAGTATAATCGGTATTTAACAATTTTTGTTTGTTTTAGTTTCAGATCTTTTGACTTTCATTGATTTATTCGTATAATTCTTTTTTTTTACTTTTTATCTTGATATTTTCTGTCATTAAATTTATAAATGCTTTGAGCTTAAAACATCTTGTTGCTTACCTATAATAACTTACCTTCCAATATTTTTCCTCTGAAAATATATACAAAGATACAAATACATTTAAATAAGCTTCGTTAGAAGCATCAAAAACTTTTTGTACTCACAGATAAGTTTTTCTTCTTGTATAGAATATTAATGCTGGCTTTAGTATCTCTAAACTTTTAATTTTGTGGACGATGATTGTAGATTTCAAATTATTCCTTTCTTCCCATTCGTTATTTGGTAGCCTTATAAATGTATAGTAGTGCCCCAAGGAATCTGATGGATAAAGAGCTACCAGGCCTATTAAATCGTATATTTCGTTTAATATTTCTATCTCTATGGGTACACTATTTAAGGTTGCATATAAATCTTTATGCTGTTTGTAATTTGGCTCTATATCTAGACAATAATAATGACTGATTCTGTAGATTTCGGTTACTTCTCCGTTGCATTTTTCACAACTTTTTGGTTTTTTACTTTAGAGTTCATTGATGTAGTTCTGTAAATTGCAAAGAAAATTTTCGTCGATCGTAGTAGCCAAACTTATCCCTTGTGTCTTGTACTTCCAGCTCATATTATATGCACAAAGATTACAAGATTTTTTTTTCAGAATGCAAAAATTTTCTGCCATAATTTCTTCAAATAGTTTTCCTATGTTATCTTGGCGGTTTATTTGAAAGTTAATTAAAGTTTCCCGCGCTCCATACTTTTTTTTACACAATAAAAGCCTTTCATTATAGTGAAATTTTCTAGAAAAATTTTCACTATGAATGTATTTAAAAAGTATTTCAAAAAAATAGGAATTATCTGGACCAGATAATGTGAAATCCATTACAAAGTTTCTGAATGATGCTGAAAAGCTGTGAGCTGCAACCAAAAGTTCAAATAAACTATCTATTGGGCAAGTATTCACTATGCAGTAGGGCTTATTTACGGTATCTATTTTAACTGCAGGCAGTTGAGATCCATTGATAATGAGATTTCTCTCATGTGCTGTGTAACGTGGTAGTATCGAAAAGCTGTCATCTGTACTCGAATCACTAACATGTACTCTCTTAGTTTCACTTACTTGGCTTGAATCAAGATTGTTTTCACTTGAAATCATTAATTCTTCGTACGAATTTTCGTCTAGTTTTTGGGGGTTTGGACTATTACTTTTAACTCCATCTTTGGTCCTATCTTTAATTTCTGGTTTTCAAATAAATTTCATATTCTTACTTTCATTTTCATAATTGTTTTCTTCGGATTTTGCTTTACATTGTAATTTTACATCTAGTTTTTGAATTTTTGAGTAGTCACTATCGACAAGTTCGATTTTTGATTCACTAATCTTTGTTTCAAATTCATTATCTTCTTGACTTTCGATTGCGTCAGCTGAAAAATTTAGTTCAGATTTATCATTGTATGATACAGATGGGTTTGTCTCATTATTTATTAAATTCTTTTTGCTTTTACATTTTTTTTTTTCGTATCACATGAAAGAACGCATTCTGGAACTTGAAATTCGTATTCCAAGTACAAAATAAGTGCAATGTTTAGCTGAAGATCTAATTTTATTTTGATCGCTTCACTTCGGGATTCCGCATCATCTCCCTTAAACCACTGCCCAGCTAAGTTTCTGTTATAAGCTATGTAATGCCTCAAGTTGTTATGACCTATTGGCTCTTCAAAAGCGATCACGCCAGTTAATATAAACTTTTTATCACCACTCATCAATAAGGTAGTTTCTATTTCATTTACGCTGAGCAAACGTGATTTTTTGTTGTTATCGGTTTCTAAATTTATGCACAACATGTTTTTAATTTCCTAACTTACAGACATTGATGACATGCATGTTTCACATGCAGCTTGAAACAAAATATCATGAATCGATTGACTGATATTAGACCTTATGTCATCTATTGTTAACGTTATGGTAGTATAATGCTTGTGTTTCGCAGTCTCACAAATTTGGCAGATGGATTGTACAAAAATACTAGGGAAAACTATTTTATCATAAAATTCACTTAATCTACCATTAATTACGTCTAATACTCTTGTTAGTAGGGCTGCTCGTTTCGAAAATAATTTTGTAAAGTTGAATGTTTGAACGTAACTTTGGAAAATTATTAAAAAATCACTTTTGTTTTCATCTAACTGTTCAGTGTATATTGAAATAAAATTTTGAAACTTGGATACTAAAAAATATCCTGAAGTAAAAAGTTCTAATATGCTATCAAAACAACTGGAGGTAACTATATTTGCTCTTATTTTATTAACTTTTTTTGCTTGGTTAGAATTACTGTTGGAAATGACATTTCTTTTTCGTGGTCTGTTTCTCGATTGTTGCATGATCAAATTTATCTCTGGACAAGGTCGAACAAACATTCCTCTTTGTTTTGGCGATACTTTATTAGGATTTTTGACGTTTTTACAATCTTCTGATATTTTATCAGTAACGTCATCAGCAATTAAACTATCTCGACGTTGTGATTCATCAACAACTGAAGGCACATTAGATTTTATATCAAGAGTCTCCGAAACATCATCACTACTGAGAAATGAAGCTTCATCTTCCTCGGATTCAGAGACTGAAGATTCTTCACTTTTACCATCAATGTTATGTTCATTATTATTTTTATTCATCCAGTTTTCTTCATAAAAAATCGATGGATCAAGTGGTACTTTTTTTCTTTTGGACTTTTTAGAAAATTTTTTTACATCTCTTGCCAAAGTGAGTTTTTTTTCAGTATACTCTATATTTTTTAACAAGTACTTATCTGCGTCGTCATTCTCGCCTCTGAAGTCTATAAACTCTTTTTTGTAGGCATCAAGCAATTCTGATAATTGTTTCTCAGCTTTTTCGGAACAATTATGAATATCCAAAACATTAGTCCACACTACAAATTCAAGGCATGGGTCTCTAAGAGTATCACACAAATTATTGTTGTTATACACATTCATTTCGTTTGATTCTAAATCTTGTGATATAGAATTTTTTGCTTGCTGTAATAGGTTGGTAACATAATTAGATATATCGATGTACTTGTTAATATTTAAAACCAATTGGATTTCTGCTGTTTCTATTAACTGAATGTCAGTGTCAACGGAATCAATAAATCTTTTACAATAGTTTTGATCGATTTGATGGTTTTTCAAGATACTCAAAAGATCTTTAAATACTGAAGTAGTAAGAGTATTTGATTTGAATGAGTATTGAACCTAGAACTTAACAAAATAAAAATTTTTTTAAGAATTATTTCAAAATTTAAAATGCGAGTTTGCATATTCAGCAAGAGTATTAGAGAAATAAAAAAATATCGAACGTTATCAAGCAACACATCTTTAACACATTTTAAATGCATAACTTTTACTATTATGCACCGTACGTTGGCTTTAATAATACAATTCGGTAATTTTTGTTTTTCATCAAACAGAGATATAAAGCATCCAGTGAGATATTCTTCATATGGCAAGTTTTTTATTAAAAACAGTATTCACTGAACGAATATGTCCTTGTAAAAAATCTACTTCAACATCTGTAGGTTCACGTAACCCACTTCTAAGACATTCTGAAAAAAATCTCTTGATCAATGAAACTGGCGCTTTTTCTGAAGAAAACTGACATATTGGAATGAGAGTGTGTTGAACTGAAATTCCTAGACAGTACAAATTTATAGCATCACTAAATTCATCAGAAGATCGAAATTTTTTGCAGAAATTTCCTACTAGCCCAAAGTAAAACTTTGCTTTTTCAGACAAATCAGTAATCAGATCTATCGACTCGATTGGCCAATGAAATATGGTAAAGGGATAAACGCTTAATTCTCTTATAATACTTTTATAAAGAACATTGCTCTGTAGTTCAACTAATGTACGCTCCATACCGATAATGTTTTGATGAAATACTGGACTTTGCGCACTTTGGAGCTTGCTCTGTAAATCTTTTTAGATTTAATATGTCGAATGACATTATTTCTATTTTTAGAGAGATAAACATATACAAATTCCTTTTTTCTATTTTCACCGGTGAATTGTCTTTATTCAAATTGTTAATAATCACATCCCATAATGGATCTTTTTCGTTTTTCAATTTCCCTTTTTCATTAAAAATCGCATGTTTTTTCAATTCTCTCACGCGGTCTTCCTGAGACACTGACGGCTTTGGACCTCTTTTGCTCATAGTATTTATTTAGAAGATCATCTTATTAAAACAATCTGAAATAGTTTAAAATATTATGACTGCACATGTGTGTAATCTTATAATGGTTAAATAAAATAATTATTCTCACTAGTACTAGAGTTTACGAATGAGAAATGGCTGAAGAATCAAAAAATTATGAACTTAAGAATAAAGATACCGTGACTGTACCTCTTGAACCTTAAAATATGTATAAAAATATTCTCTATGAAAATTTTTTGTGTTGAGGTACAGTAAGTGTGGGTATAAGGGATGCAATAGACCCCCTCTCCCCC